GGATGTTCCGCAGAAATTATCCTGAACTGTATCAAATCGAGACCGTGTTTGCCCTACCTTCAACTTCCAAGTAAGGTAAAAAATAAGCCTCAGGCACGAAACGTGACTGGGAAAAAATTCCGGGAAAAAATATGTTTGGAAAAATTCTCGAGGAAAAAAAAAGAATTGCATAAACAAACTAATAGCTTGACATCCGCTGATAGTGCCCCAGAGCTGAAAATGATTTGTTTGTACGGACGACGATACGATGCACAGCGCGATGCATCCAATAACGATCGGTGTCAGGATAACAAAACAGGTAATGTCCGTGAACAGATTCCGACGTTCCGCGTAGCAGTTTCTGCTAGTAATGAATTCACAGAAGGAACGATATCGCCTAAAAACAAAACATACTGGATCTGTTTTTTTAGTAGCACACAGTTGCTATTTTGGGCAATATCCGTAGTGCTTTTTATAGCATCATCTCACACTGTAATAAAAAATATTATATTAGTTCACGTGTGGTACTTAGGTGCTTTTTTTGCTTACAGCTTTACCGCCAAATTCATTCGTTCAGGAATTAGGCATCCAGGAATTTCTGTCAAGAAATTTTTTTTCATTCGGGAATTTCGTTAAAAAAACTTCGACTCGAAAGATTTACTCAAAATTATGTTTGCGACTGCACTAATGACAGTTGTGCAAAATAAAGAAAACTGGAGAAGTTGCTAGCTTTAGGCTTTACTGACGTGACGATGAAACAACAGCTGATCTAAGTATAACACCAGAGCATTTTGGTGCTATTCACTCACGCTCTCTTTCTTTGGTTATTCAGCATGGTACATTTGTGCTATTTAGTCACATTCGTAAAAATGGCGATGCCAGCTAATCATGAAACTGCCTGAGTTGTGTGTCTCAATTTAGATGTAATCTATGAATGTTGGCATGTGTTATTGGCAGCCAGGGATCTAAATATTTGTGAAAGATCATCATCTTTTTTTTAAAACTTGAAATTTGCTCTCACCTGCCTGTTTTAAATGTAAAATGACATATTTCACATGCATTACTATTGGCTGTCGCAAGCCAGCGTTCCAGGCAACTTCGATGATAAAGTCCTATTGTTCCCCTGCAAAGCTGTATTATTTACTTGCAAAGGGTAATTTACGTAGAAAATTGACAAACTAACGATGGTAACAATATATTCTTCTGTTGAAATTTTTTTAAAGATCATTGCTCCCAACGCAGGAAAAGCCGACCCAGAATTTCACTTTTTTCAAAAGAACTTGGAGGAAAATGGGTTAATTTTAGATTTTCCGGGCGTTAGAGCTTCTTAGATGCTACTTCGTTTGTCAATTAATGTGCTTCAAATTCTCTTTTTGTTAAAACTGCATTTATGGATTACTAGGCATTCGGAGCAAGCAAGCTGGAGTACTAGACATCCGGAAAATTACAAATCTATAGGAGATGAGTAGTTGCAAAAGCATGCAAATCAAAACAAGAAAGTCTTAATAAGATGATATGGGCGCATTCTATATGTAAGGGCGAAATATTCCAATTTTTTAATCTTTTATAATTTATGGCTACCAAATACCCGGCCAACAAATCCCAAGCATTTTGCTATCCACCCATCGAAAAAAAACGGTACTTGCACAGACAGGGTGATATCAACGGTTCACCAGTGGTTGATTTATCATAAGCCACCGACTGCTCGCTACTGTGACAAATACGGCACACAGCGTTTGAAGACACAGATTCAGTATATGACTTCATCCTCATTTCTTCCCGCAAATTTAGCAGATTGCTGCTTGGGTGTCTGAAAAAACGGATTTTCTTAGCACGCAAATCATTTGTAAGACCAGTGGATCGATCGTGGGGAAAAGAAACCTGAATTTTCGGATCAGCTCAAAACACAAAGTCATCGGTACAGATGTTCTTCACAAATCTTCAATCCAGAACTCTCTTCAAATTTAAGCTCAGTGAGGCGGATTACAACACATTATAAACAACCGACACTCACAAGACAAATTGTAAGCAGTCATCAGCAGTCATCACCTCGGTACAAACCTCGATAACACCTTGACGAATGCACTTTACACAAATATCCCGAATAAAAATATTTCTGTGTACAAAAATTTGCGGAAGTGCTTACAAGAACTCGTGATCAGCAAAATTCCAGCGGTGCACAGGGCAGTTCTCTTTCTTTTGGTTATCACGAGATGTTTGAACAATTCTTCGAATTCCGCTTGAAATTCTTTGAAATACTCTGAACAATTCAGGAAATGATAATTTCCGATTTTAATAAAAATTTTCTAACTGTAATTCTTGGAGTAATTCATCTGTGTGAAAATCCGCATGCAACTTTACTGGTTTGAGAAAACACAAGTAATTAAAAAAAATTTGTAAACGATATTTTCATTTATGCCTCTCATTCTTGAATGGTATAAAAGGAAAATAACAGGGTGACAAAGCGAATACTGAAAGATGCCCGCAGAATATTAGAAGATCGAGGAAGACAAATGCGATGGAAAAGATCCATTTAAATCCTTAATGCTAGGATAAAAGACCGGTGAATATGCTAGCTGCTTCAGCCACAAAAAGAAACGAAACTATAAAGCAGCTGATCGGCATATTGGAGTAAATACAAGAACAAGCTCAGGAAAACCTAGTACGTCCTAAAGGAGTGAAATTGCATCTCATAGCTCATTTTCTCCTAACACATTGACCTTTGCCTTTTCTATGAGTGATGGCGCCTCGTTTTCTTTGTCCCTAAAGATTTGTGACCAATGACCAGCAGTACTGCAAAATAAGCGATTATTATTCACTTGCAGAAGTCAGAAATTTTTTATTCGCAATTAGATATAATTAATTGTAAGACTGAGGATTTTTTTAATTCTCAGTTTTTGCACATTTTATTGTTTACGCATCCAGTGCTGGGAAAACAATTCCCCGACAATCTTTTTGATTCATGTTAAAACTGATGTAAGGAAACAGAGCAGGAGGTAAGGATCAATCTATGCATCATATACAAAAAAAAATGTTAGGATGCTATCTGTCTTTCACTCCTTTTCTTAAAACTTGCTAAAATGGAGGAGTATTATCAATCTTGATTGTTTAATGACTGGTAATAGCAGGCCGCTAACAAATGGATTAGATCTGGATCTTCGTCTTGGGGAATTTTGCCCTTTTTGGTGATTTCATACTGAATTAAATTCTGCATTTCATTTGTTTTTACTTTCTTGCACCTTTCTTCTAGACCAAAATGATTGTAAACTAGTTCAGCATTAAGAACTCCAGCAGTTTCCACTGACTTTTGAAATCCAGAACTTTCTTTGGGAAATCCTCACGCGAAGCATCACGAGAGTAAAGATTTTCGGAGGAATATTGTCTAAAAAGGCGCATTGCTGATAATTTTGTACAAAATCAAGTGACACATTAAAAAATAATTATGTACAAGTGGATATATGTGACGGTTTCTCGTTGAAAAAAAAAAATACTGTTCCGAGGCAGAATTCCACAACTAGACAGCAAGCTTCTTGGTAGCAAATTGATTTCTTTTTATTTTCCTTGAAAAGCGAAACGTTGGAAGAAGTTCGGAAACCTTTGATCAGTTCCAAGCATAATTTCATTCATAAAAGTACTCAAGTTTTCTGCACTTCTGTTGTTTAATGTGTAGCGGAGTACTTCGCTGATTTTTGCTTGTGTGCATAGCCCTAGCATTAGGTACGAGAGTCAAGCATCTGAGGTTAGAAAGG